CACTGGCAAGGGAAAGAGGTCATGGAAGAGGAGAGCGGTGTAGGCAAAGGAAGTAACTGTGGAAAGAAAAGCCACAGATCCTCACATGAATGCATCATGCGTGATGTTGGCAGATAATATCGACAGTGATGAAGTGGTCAGGAAGGACACAAGAGATATGAATATGGCGGAGCAGAGTTAGGGAGCAATCAACCAGATGTGGATGTCAGGATGACTCGGGTTTAGAGTTTGTGAGTCTGAGTGAATGGTGATCCCAGGAACAGGGTATGGACATTAAGAGGAGAAATCATTTTTAAATGAGAGGTTGAGGCTGCTGAACTCTGTTTTCCAGGCTGGATGAGCTTGAGGCCCTTAGAACACACATAAACTTAGATTATCATGGGGGGATCTGATGCTGAAAAGCAGTTCAGGTGGGTGGTGTGAGCTAGACTGTAACACAGATTTACCACTAGGTAGCCACTGAAACTATAGGTAAAGGTGAGTTGACTCAGGAAGAATGCACAAAATGAAACAGCAATTGAAAGTTAAATGCTTTGAAATTTTAATATTAATATTTCCATGAAGCATCTCACAATATACTAAGGATGTTCTTAACAACAGGAGAGAAGAAAAGTGCATTCAATACAAAGGCAACCAAAAGATTGATAATTATTGGAATCACAATACTAAAAGTGATTTGTAACAATCAATAAGAAAAAAAACAAGATTATTACAAAGAATTGAGAATGTGGGCAAACTATGCAAACAAGAATGAGAAGGAGGTGAGAGGAGGGGAGGAAGACAGGAGAGGCACAGGAGGAGCAAGGCTGAAGACAGGAATAACAACCAGTGCTGAATGGATAAGCATCCACCATAACGTCTAGCAGAGGTCACTGAAGCCCAGAGGAAGCAGGAAGAGTTCCCATGCAGTACTGGAGTGAAAGCCTCACAGGGATAAAGCCTGCCTGGCAAATGAGGAAGTGAAGATAGATTTTTTTAAAGCAGCATGACAACAAGAGGTGGGGCAGGTTATAAATAGGGGAAAGCGCATACCTGACCAGTTCACTGGGAAGCAGAACACAGAACATCCAAGTTACTAGCTCACCACAGGAATTCTGCTCCTGCAAAACCTAATTTTCCCAATTCAGTCTAGAGACTGACTCTGACACTCTTTGAGAGCTAAAACCTGCTCTAGGACCTTGAGAATAAACGCTTCCCTCTGTCGCTCACATTCTGCAGTTACTCAGATACTGCTTGGCTGTGATATGCTTGGATGTGATGGTAACAGATGCATTAATTTCAAAAATATCTCATGTCTTTGTCTTTAAAAGTAGTAGGAAAATAATAATTAACACATCCAGCAACATTATAACATATAGGTCAAAAGCAGTTTTCCAAGGATTTGGTCAGTTGCAAATTGTTAAGATCTAGCTGTGTTTCATATCATTTAATAAAATCCATTAAGTATAAGATACATGCATAAAGTTCTTTTAATACTTTTCTTAACTTGCAAATGGACTAAATTGGTAACTTTATAATTTTGCGTCTAAGGTTGAGGAGGTTTCACAGCCAAGCGTAGCCAGTATCTGTTACAGTCTAGAACCCTATAAAAGGGCAAATATTATCAAGGCATATGGACTATCATGTTAACAATAGTGACTATTTACAAAAAAAAATGCTGACAACTTTTAAACATGATCAAGATATGAAGTTTAGCTTAACTGGATTTAATTTAGATGAGAACTTCCTATGTTTAATCTACAGTTTTCCTCCTACCTGAAGGAGTCGTACTGTCTTCCTTTTGAGCCCTCTGATACAGAAGGTAGTTTTTAAATAATCAGCTCAAAGACTGTCATCAAATACTATGGTACAGAAAATTTTAGTCCTTCTTTATTTACTGTGACACACCTCCAGATAAAATCCTCAGGGTAACTGTATGATCTTATCACCATTTAGAAAGCGTTGGCAAGTTGACAACTGGTTAAAGGTTAGTATTACCATGGGTCACTGAGTATTCCTTTCAGTGTTTGTTGGGTTATGCCCTGGAGTGTAACTTCCAAATTGTAAAAAAACACAACTACTTCTGCAAGAGAATTATTTTATCTGTCTCTTACATCAGTAGCATGGCAGAGAACTTAAGAGTTATTAAAGATAACTATGTATTATAAAGAAAATTTACTGTTAAATAGATGAGTGTCTTTAAACTTTGAGTGAGCCTGGATTTGTGGGTTGTACTTTTATCAACTGATACCACCTAAAGGAAGAGAATGTATGTCACCAGAATGAGAGCTTAATCTACCACAACTCCATCTAGTGAACCAAGTAAACTCAATTAAAACATGACCCACAAAATAATAAATGATTCAATGAATAATATCATTTTCAGAAGAACCTCAGACAGAGGAAGCATCATCAATTATGAACTTGGTAAGATAATAAAACTGTTCAAACACATTTTGTTAATTACCTAACACACTCAATCAGCCTAATATAATGAAAAGAAGGTGGGTCATAGCCTAGCCATTAAAAATGGTATGGATCCCAAGTGGATCCATGTGAGTTGAATTCCCAGGTCTGGATCCTGGCTCCAACTTCCTGCCGACAAAGACCTAGGAGACAGCAGAGAGGCTCAAGTCACTAATACCCATCACCCACGCGGGAGACCTGGATTGAGTTCCAAGCTCTTGTGTCTGTCCCTGCGCCTAGCCCTTGCCGTTGCAGAGTTAGGAGAGTGAACCTTTAGATGGGAATTCACATGTTTGCACCTTCTAAAACAAAAGCAAAAATATAAAAACAGTAAAAATGATCCTTGAGAACCAAGTGTGTGAGCTAGGACTGGAAGACTTAAGTCCAGCCCCAGAAAACAGTTGAATGAGTACAAATGTGCCCGATGTGCTCATATTCCTTAAGGTTTTTGTCTTCCTTCTGATACTGGGATGATAACTGCCTTTTCCTCCATGTGACCATATGTCAGATCAGACTGAATCATAGTCAGACTAGGCTAGAAATGGAACCAGAAATGAGAGTCCAGATGTGAAAAAAATAAAGGAAGAAGTTAACATTCACAGAAGATAATAATCTGTCCATAATTTATAATAATAAAATTGGTTATTATATTTTTTCATATCAATTCAATGATGCACATAGCTTTTTAAAAAATTATTGCTTGCAAATAATGAAGATATTGAAGTATGCTATCACTGGAAGTGTGAATGAATGAATAAATTGAATTATCACTGAAAATCGTTAGTCTTGTTTAGGGATCTTAGAGAACAGCTTGATATTTACAGTAATTTGGGAGGGCTGAAGTGCCCCTTTTCTATGAAAACAAAAAGTTATTTTACATGTAAAAGTATTATGAATTACAAAGCTCTTTAAAATTAAGTGGTAAAGATGAGAGTGGAGGTAGATGATTATTATGAATAGACCGGAGAGACTGAATACTGTAACTGTTTTCAGAACCATGCACTTTCATGGTATCCATGACCATCAATTTGTGTGTGTTTTTTTTTAATTGGTTGGAGAATGAAAGAATGTAATCATATTTGTTTACTGCTTAGATCTGAGGGCAGAACTTAGGCCTGTTCAGGAAAAATGTTAGCTTCTTAAACCCGAAACACACACACACACACACACACACACACACACACACACACACAAAACAAAACAAAAAAACTTTCCCAGGACAGGCGAAATGTATTACCCTTTTGGGGGGAATGGAAGAAGGTTAGACATCTACCTATGATATTGAGAATTGCACACTGCGTGTGAATATTGTTAGGATCTTTGCTGTGCACACATCCAATGAGACCCCAGAAGGATTATACCTTGGCAATAATGAAAATGAAGACATGTTCTTATTTAAAGAAGGTGATGAAGCTTATACCTTGGGGTCATTTTCCAAAGCATTGATCACCATAATGCATTTAATTGCCGCTCTACTGCAGTGTTAATATGTTGAAATAGTGCTTTCACTCTGTAGTTCCATTTTCAGAATCCTTACATACACATGGAATAAACTCTTCTGGTTTTTCTTTGCTGTTTTATCCCAAAATATTGCCGAAGAAGATAGAATAAAAGGCCCAGAAGGGAAATCAGATATACAGAGTCTAATTCTGGCCTCACCATTTACTGGCCATCCAAGCATGAGCAAACTATACACAGGTGGTGCAAACTTGATGCTACCCGAAGCAACAGAGGTTAGGTCAACTTGCTGAGTAACTCTTGACAATGAAGTATTAGTAATGTCACTTAGAACACTGACCAATATGTGGTGATGGAGAAAGAAATGGAAGGAAATCATAAACATTTTCTGTGCTTTCCTGCATTCTTTCCCCAGCACCTGACTTCTCAACAGTAGGGGACATCCTTTATGTCTACTTAGAAAACCATACAAAGCTTAAATACATAAGTTGAATACTACCTGCTAGAGCCTAGCATAAGAATTTGCAACAATATTTTGCCATGGTGATAAGAAATAAAAAGAACACCTGGCATTGGAGGGGTTTTTCTGACCTGGAAAAAAGTAAAATATGCCCATGCAATAATCTATAATCCTAACATAATTGAAAAGTATACAGTACTATGGTATATTTGTGAGTGTATGAATATATACATATAACCACATAGCATAACAACATCAAACCTTTTGCTAGATTCTTAGACTGATGTCCATTTTAAATTCCAGAACTTTTGAATGCTGGGGTAATCAGCTTCCCCCACAACCTACATATTTCCATGTGCAATTAAGGACAAAAATAATTAGAGGAAATTCTGTTCAGAGAGAGTGGGAAACACAAGAAAAATTATTCAATGTATTTTCTATGAGAGGAAGAACTAAATGACTACTTTATTCTAAACTATCAAAGAAAAGTACAAATTGTGAAGTTCTACTTTATGTGTCACTTAAATACTTGCCAACGAGTCATATGATTGTGTTCATCTCCAATGACAAGTACAACTGATCTGATCTGAAAACAGGTTATATTCTTGTGGCTAGCTCCTGTGTTTAGGGCACTTACCGCGCCAAGGTCCACGATGAAGCAGTCACCCTTGTTGAAGCTGTCCCAGCTGAGCGGGACTTCCGTGGCCCTGACCACCCTCCGGCCTTTCACGTGGAGGAGCCTCTTGGCCGTCAAGTCGTTGGTGAGAACGTGCGTGAGTCCGGATGCCACACCTCCAGCCTGCTCAGGTCGGGGGCCGGGAGACAGCACAGAACAGAGAAGATAAATATGGCCTCCAATTGGACACAGCCAAGCTGAAAACCACAGGTGTGGGTGCCTTCAGGCCAAGATCAGATAGCCACCAGAAAATTTCTTGATAATAAATTAGCAGATGTATTTGTGTGGTTTCCTTGCATTGTTTTTACACAGCTCAATTTAGAAATGCAACAGTTTGCTGAGAGACTTGGCAGAGCAAACTGTTGCATTAACAACAAAAAGAAGAGTGGCTCCTGCCTTTGGGGAACTAAATATTCTCAAAGCCCTTGGTGAGTGGGAGAGAAGTCTGAACAGAAGCAAGCTGTAGGAGGTTAGAGGAGTGGAGGGGCAGAACCACAGCAGTCCCTCATGTACAGGGTTAGGGCCGAGAAAACGTGTTGAATGCTGGCCTGGGTGGGTTGTCTTTGTTTTCTACAGTTTACTAAATGACTAGTACTGATCCTAACAACCCTGAGTACTTTTCTTAAGTTAGAAGAGATGCAATATCTTGACTGTGCATCACCAACTAAATGAATTAAAAAGACTAAAAAATATTAACTGTACCAACTATATATCTTCTTGCATTACTTGCAACATCATTTACCTTTCATTTTTTCTTCTAAATATTAAGAACCCTATTTCCTTTCCATAAGTAATTATGAGCTAATGTGTATAATTTAAGTATTTTTAAAATTCTGTCATTGACACATCAAAGTCCTCCTATACTTATATAATCTACAAAATAACCCAACTTCAATTTTTTTATATAAACATGTGAATCAGCCCAAAATGAGAAATTCAGCTCAATTATTATACATTAGCACATTATTTATATTTCTATCACCTATAAAATCATCTTCAGGAAAGGGCCCTCATGAATAGAAAGGATTTGCTAGTATAGATTAAGTGCACAATAAGGATAATTACAGCTTCCAATGTTAAGAAATATGTAATAATTTTCCAGGTTATAACTTTATAGAGATTTTTGAAATTTCTTGACTGGATGAACTACTACACAATATAATAAATTCACATTTTCATTATATTCTGCTTTCTGTCATTTCATTCTTTTCAGCAACTCAAAGCATGTTGTGATCTGCTTTTGAAAAGCTATAAAAATATAGTCATCTTAGGCCTGGAATACATATACAACATTCTGGCTCATTTTATAGAGTGACCAGCAGAGTGACAGTCTATGAAAATTTAATGCTATCTTTAAAGGTGATTTTTTTTGACAGACTCACACACACACAGACACACATATACCTTCCCCTCACCCTGCCAACAGATACCAGAGCATGTTTCCATCCACTGTTTCACTGCCCAAATGACCACACAGAGTGATCTCACCTGTGGGCAGCAGGGACTCAATTACTAGATCCATTGCCCACCTGCTGCCTCCTGGGGCTTGCTTCAGCCAGAAGCTGAAAACAGCCTTGAACTAGAGCTGCAATCCAGTATTTGGTGCCCCAAAAGTACAAAAGAGAAACTCTGTATTACATAGAACAAGTAGCTTTCCCAAGAATATTGCTCAAATTTACACTAGAAACTTACAGCCTTGTTCTACTACAAGCAGAATAACAAGAAAAGTGGGTGATCTCTAACCAACACTAATGTAAATATGTTCTCCTGCTAGGGCAGGGTCATGTTCAACTTCAGAGAAGTGGATTAGCCAGACACTCGACAAAAGGCAGAAGTGGTAAATGACAGTCCCTTATGGATCCCTCCCAGGCCCCTGAGGGAAATGACAGGGTCAACCCAGCGAGATAGGAAGTCCGCCTAAGCCTTTCCTAGCTCACAGCAGCTAAATATGACTTCACTGATTTGATAATGGTAGGCTTTGTCAGGTTGCACTCACCTCAGACAAAATATCTTTTTTTTTAAAGGATAATCTAATTTTTCCCTGACAGTTGAATCATTTATTTATGTGGAGAGTATAACAATCACCAGCTCGAGCACTAAAGTCAGACAGATGGCCACAAACAATCTGGCTACGAGATCCTGGCAAGTCTTAGAGCCTCTTCAAGCTCGGTTTCATTCATCTGAACAGGGCAGCCATGATGGAAGCCTCACCATATGGCTGTTTATATTAAACGTGATAATACATGTGAAGCGATGAGCACACGCCTGTGAGTTTGAAGATAATAAAGGGATAAAATTAAGCATAATGCAATCATCTTTGATTTCTGGGTGGTAAATTACCTCAGCTCCCACACTTCCTATCAATTGTATTCACAACTGTCCACACCAACATCTGTTCAATGTCATTAATAAGGTTGTAAACAGAATGTTTTGTTGATACATTTAATCGCTAGTAAAATAATCTTTCTAAAAATAATGTTGATTTGTGGTGGTTTTTAATGTTTGTCGCTAGATGGTAATTATTCCATAACTAGAAATAGACTGAATCACGTCCACTTTTGAATATGTATTCAAAAGCTTCATTTTAAAAGCCCTGTACTAGCCAGCAGGATTACTAATAACACAATTCCTGAGTATGGTATAGATATATTTTTAATTTGATCCTTAACTTTTACATCATTTGCATGAGGAACCTGCTGTCATATTCATTGTACATTTCAAAAAAAAAAAAAAAACAAATACAGAAAGGTTATACTCTTACCCTAAAGGCATTGAGTCAAGCAGACCGGGTTCAGCAGTAGAGACGTAAACCACCCAAAGCATCTGGTCTTAGTTACTGTAGGCCCAGCCCATTTAAAATGTTGGTTTCATTGACTTGACATAAACTAGAAGAACTCGTATTCATTAAATAAGAGTTAACAATTTTCCATCTAGATTGGTTTATAAATTAAAGAATGATTACAAGACATAAGAGAATCTGTAAGTATTTGTCTTGATCTCAAAGGCATCACAAAATATTCAAGCAAAGCTCTGAATAGATAAAGGTAGAAATAACGCTAGCATCTTATGAGGAAAATTTAATATTATAGTCACAATTTTGGCTTGGTTCTCAAGTTTTCAGTCTTAAGTTATGAGCTAAGTTGGGACAGTGGGGGAGTTCAGAAACCATTAGAAAACATCCAATTCTGAAAAGTTTCTAGAATGCTTTTCTGGTGGGGGATTGCCTGCATTTTAAGGGACTACACATCAGTCGAGGCAAGGAGATCATGAATGATCACTGTGTAAAGCTTACTGCAAGAATTCTAGACCAAAAAAAAAAATCTGAATGAAGGTTGCCGTGAAGCACCTGAGCTATCTGACTCTTCACTGTCAATGGTTATTGTCAGAAGCAAAGCTAACGAACTGGTATCTCAGGCCATCACATGTAAATTGTGTGTTTTCATGGGCAGTTATGCTTAATTCACTTTGTCTGGCCAAACCATGCATTATTAGCACCCTGGTTTCTTCTGTATCATTTCTAAGCTCAAACCATACTACTTGGGAATGCATTCATAGTTGTTTGTAATAAGTAAAACTGTGCTTGATGTAAATACTACATTAACATACTCTAAACAACTGAGATTCCCAAAGCTTGGGTGTAATGCAATAAATGCAAGGGATTTTTTTAAATAATAAAAATTAAAATCATCAAAACTCAAATTATCAAAAATTACTATTGAAATAACTTCACAAAATATTAAAAGGGTTTTTTTAAGGTTCTGGACATTCTTCAGAATTATCACATCAGAGTTATATCTGCCCTAGAAATTAAGACAGTGGATAAGAGGCCTGCATTTCATATTGGAATGCCTGGATTCAAGCCAGCGCCATTTGTGATTCTGGCAAATGTGCAACTGGAGGCCTGGCAAGACAGTCCAGCGGCTAAATTCTCATCTTGTATGCACCAGGATCCTATACGGCCACCGGTTCATTTTCTGGCTGCTTCACTTCCCATCCAGTTCCCTGCTGGTGGCCTGGGAACTGCACCCATGTGGGAGACCTGGAAGAAGCTCCTGGATCCTGGCTTCGGATCGGCTCAGCTGCAACCATTGCAGCTACTACTTGAGGAGTGAACCAGTGGATGAAAGATTTTTTTCTCTGTATACCCTTCTCTGTGTATATCTGCCTCTCCAATTAAATAAATAAATAGATAAATAAATAAATAAATAAATAATTTTTAAAACATGCAACCTGAGAGACAACAGGTGGCAGCTCACTAAGAGCCATCACCATCCACATCAGAGACATGGGTTGAGATTCTGGCCCCTGGCTTCAGCCTCTCTCTGCCTTGGCCAGTGTAGGCATCTGGGGAACCAGCCAGCACATATCTCTGCCTTTCTATATCATAGAAGTATTTAAGAATTTAAACACCAAAAAAAAAAAAATTAGCTACTAAAATAAATGGAGTCATAATATTTCACAAACTGAGTCATCCAATTCACATTTATCAAACATTGACCTTGTGTTCCACAGGTACTGGGAACAAATGATTGGGAAAAAAAAATTGAGAAAAACAAACAACAAAAAGAAAGCTTCAGATTCCTGTTCTCACTGAGCATTCATTCACAGGGGACACGAGGCATGGATGGAGGAGGAGCAAGGGAGTAAGCACGGAAGCTCTTTGGGAGTGGCTTGCCTTGTATTTTAGACCTCCTTTGAAATAGCCAATGAAGTCAGTCGACTCGTAGCCTTGAAGTTCTCTGTTCTGCACGGGTTTGCCCCCCAGATAGTCGTCCATCTGGACAGTGAAGATGGCAGCGGCCGTGCTTTCATCCTGGGAGCACTCCTTCCCTGAAACAACAAGCCATATGACCTCAATTACCAAGCAAGGAACAGGGTGATGGCAGCATTTCTCATATGAAAGGAGTCAGAAATGCTTGTTTTTATTCTCCGTCAACACTATCAGTGACCCACAGGAAATTCTCTTAACACCGTGTAAAATACGTTGTTTTGCTAATAGATTAAAAATATGTATGTTTTATTCCTGCCTTTCCCAATCCATTTAAAATAATTTAAAAGAAATACCGCTGTTCAAAGTTACAATGCATTCCAGAAAAAGTTAGGTTAAATGTTCATCTGATATAGTCGGTAAGCTTGAGCTACAAAAATATTTTCTAATTAGTTTCGTGATTATTAGCATTTGTTTTTAGGCTTACCATGTATAAATATGTTAATATCTATGCAGAATATTAATATCACAGGCCACAATTCAAAAACTTCCAGAAATTGATTTCTTTTAGAATATTGAAATGAACATAACTGGACTTTTCCCATGTCTGAGTCTGTTTTTCCCCTCTTCACAGTGTTACTGCTTTTGTTTGAGTGAAACAATGTCTAAATGGGAAGATGGGTTAAATAAAGGGACTAGAACGCTGACTTTTATGAAAGGCCAATGGACTTGGTGTTGCACCACGAATTTCACACAACATTCATCTCATCTTCACCAATCGAGTGGCAATTCCACCCAGACAACCTGAGCAAGGACAACACAAAAATTTCTAAGAACCAATGTCAGCAGTGTATGAGACAGCCAGGGCTAACATAGCCCAAAGGAGGACACAGATTTCATTGAAACACACACACACAAAGTCAAAATCAAATTACACCGAGCTACGGAAAAAATAGGGAAATTATAAATGATTCTAGGAATAATAACAGCCAGCGTTTATACATTTGCAGTACCCTCCCATGGGCCAGGCACTGTGCTGGTGTTTTCCACGGATGAGCTTATTTCATCTCCATGGAACCCTATGATGTACAACCCACATCCGACCATGTCTATCCTATTCCCTAGAGGTTGAGAGGGTCTGTCACCTCCATGACATCATGAGGTGACCTTGACAGACAAGGATCCGGGTACAAGTCTGTGTAACTATGACACACAAGCTCTTAGAAACCATGACACGCTGCTAATTTTTTCCTTAATACTTAGGCTCATTAAATTTTGCAGTGATCATGGTATGTTAATATTCACTATGGAAAACGTATAAATTAGCAGCTGTGACACTATAGTGAACCTGAGCAGCCCAAGTTGAGAATACTCATTAAAAGTCAAGTGAGGGAATCAGCCAGCTGTATTAAGGAAGAAGTACAAGTTTTTACAGCCTCTCCCTCCCTCTCAAATGTGGACTGTGGAGAAAGAATCTTCTCAGGAAAATAAGCCAGCAGCTACAGCAGGAGTATGTGATAGGACAAAAACGTGTGATGCTTCTGTGGGCAAAAGTAAGTGTTTAACACACATGGAAAACACACACTTGCAATTCTGCAGTTTGCAAGGACTCTAGCGTTGCTGTTCTGCCCATTTCCCCAACACTGAAGACAGCAGTGAAGGTGTAGAGAGAGTATGCAGAGATAATCCGAAAGATTATCACTTAGTGTTAATGTCAATGGTGTTAAATATGATATATTTGGCATAAGCATTCCTAACTTGACTACAAGTTCAAACTTGAATTTCTTTGGGTAAATGTAACTGGATAGGCATAAGGTTATGAATGAATTGGAAATAAGATGATTAAATTATGCTCTCCTTTGTTGGTATTTGCGTATTGTGTGAGGCTAGGGAAGATTAGTCCGAAAAACTGTTTTTTTTTTTTTTTCACCTGAAAATGGCTATACAGCTTTAATGAAGCCCATATCAGTTTTGACTTTGACAATTCAAATAAAATTCAGCTGTCATGATGAAATTCTAGTAAATGTTCAGAAACTTAAGAAATTTGTGGATGAATTCTGCTTATAGGGTTGCCCCAGTGAATTCTGCTTTTAACATCCTTTTACGGTGATATTGCTGATGGATGACAATGCATTAATACTTAAAAAATCTTTACATTATACTTGCACATATGTTATAAGTCTCCTAAAATCATTTTGAGGATATGGTAACTTTAGAAGTAAGACAAATGAAGGGGGCAGACAGTGCAGTGTTTAAGCCATGCTTTGGATGACGCCATTACATACTGGAGTGCCGTGAGCTTGTGTCCCTGCACTGCCTGCATCCCAGGTTCCTGCCAATGGACACGCTTTGGAGGCAGCAGGTGGAAGGATCCACTGTTTGCTTCCTGGCCACTCAGGTGGGAGCCCCAGACTGAATTCCCGTCTCCTAGCTTTGGCCCAGCCCAGCACGGAGTATCGTGAGCAGCTGAGGACTGAGCCAGTGAATGGAAGGTTTCTGTGTATCTCTCTTTATTTCCCCCTCTTGCTCCATGTCTTAAAAGATTTATTCATTTGAAAGGCAGAGTTACAGAGAGAGAGCAGATACAGAGAAATCTTCCAACCATTGGTTCACTTGCTGAATGGTTACAACAGCCAAGTTAAATCCGGGAGCCAGGAGTTTCATTTGGATCTCCCATGCAGGAGTACAAGCATTTCTACTGCTTTCCCAGGTGCATGAGCAAGGGGCTGGACCGGAAGTAGAGTAGCCAGGCTTCGAACCGTGCCCTCATGGAATGCCAACACCACAGGAAGAGGTTTAGCCTGATAAGCCGCCGTGCCAAACCCCTCTTTGCTTTTCAAGCCAATTAAATAATTGTAAAAATTTTAAAAGCCACCAATTAAAATACAGGTTTTAAAACTAGATTTTGCAACATCCATTCATTAATACTAATAACAGCATGGGCAAGAAGCAGGATTAATGTAACAGCTAATGCTGGAAGATGGGATGCTGTCCCCAGATGAAGAGTGAGGCAAACATGAACTCGGTGCTCCACCATGCCCAGTACAGGAACAACCACTGCAGGAAGGCCACGAAAAGACGCAAAGGCACAGAGTGGAAATGAAGGACTGCATATCTCTACTGAGAGCAGGTAGGATCGTTTGCACAGTAAATCCAAAGAATCTTCCACAAAGTTCCCAGATCTCCTAAGTACATTCGGCTAGAGAGTGAAACATCAGGAAGATCAATGGCAAACGGTAACCCCACTCGTGTCAAGACACAATGAACAGGCAGAAACGAAAATGAGAGGTACTGCCACCTGCAATCACTCCAAAGAAACTGAAGCACTCAGATACATGTCATACGGCATGGATAGGATCTGCAAATGAGAATCTACAAATGAGAACCTGCTGATTACAAAAGAAATGCGAGACATGGTGCTCCTGCACTGCAGCACTCTATAATAATGATGTCAATTCCTAACTGTGCTTCATTATACCAAATCTGGGAACAATATATCTATGAAAAGCTTACTACAGACATACACAAATTTGTTAATACAACTTTTAAGGAAAAGGTCCCAGAAAAGCCAAAATAATCATGATGAGAACTGGGTGGAAGGAATGAACCGGTGAATAAAATGAAAGCCTGATGTCAGCTAGAGTAATTAAGAGGCAGTGTGGGCGGAAAACACACAGGTCAGGGGACCTGATTTCAACTGATAATATTTTGTAAAATTGTAGTATGACTTAGTAGCCTAGAGTACACTGACTATTATCACAGCACAGAACATCCTAGCATTGGGGTATTGCCATGACCCACCTATTGCATTAATATTTCCTTGATTTTACATGTTCTCATCTGTGGATGTGTACACACTTATAACATTTATCACTTGTTGAAATTCATCTAACTGTGATTGATGCCAGTTCAGGATAGTTCCTTTACCAAAGGCTCACTCAGGTGGTCCTTCCATACTGCACCTCCACCCTCTGCTGCCTCCTTGGCTCGCTTCTCCCTCCACATCCTGCAGCAACCAACCTGCAATTCCAACATTGCAAAACCATTCGCAAACAGAACCATGCAGTGTACAACCTCTGGGTCTTGTTCTTCTGCTTTTGCTTTTTACCCAGTGATTCCCTGAAGATTCATCCTAGCTGATGCATTTGTCCCTTTCTCTGACTGAGTAATATTCCCTGTCACCAAGGCCTCACAACTTGCTTAACCAAGTATGCCAAGGGAGTAGGAAGAGCTGCTGGCCAGTGCCAGCCAGGAGTGGTGTGGCCTCCGGGACTCACATATCTATCTCTGTTCTACTCTCTCTTGGTACAGAATCCTCCTCTTTACCTTCATTCTCCTGCTCTGTGTTAAAGTTCTGTTTCCCACAATCACAGGCAATTCATGTTTCAGTCACATTATCACATTCTTCAGGTGTAATGTCACTTTTTGTTCTGGCTCAGCTTTGAGAAGATAAACTTTCAAGGAAGATTCACAAATTGTTCTTCTTCCTCCCTTCCCCCCAGGTGCCACGGGCAGAGCCAGTCTTGATGAATAACTGCTGCATAAATTAGCTTGTGCTAACACACCATACATTATTTTGTATTTGCATGGCTTTAAGATGGTAACCTGTTTCTGCCCCACTTTCTGTTGGAGCTTTTAAACTGGTAAGTAGCAAATGTATACTTAAGGGGAGTCTGCTAAGCCTACAAACCACAGTGCATAAGGGACTATTGGCATAAGAAAGAATAACATTTAAAGTTGTGCTCAAAGCCTGTAGCTTTCTGACAAACTTCTGTCTGTGTCAGGGTATAGAGTTCCTCCACACACCGACTTACCCAAATAGCCAGTGTGGCTTTTTAAGACACTTTGAGTCACTCTAGACCTAATGTCTGGGAAGAAAGACCAGGGCAAGGCCTTGCTGTCCTACGTGGCACCAATTCACGCACGCACACGAAGGTGTGAGCGCTTTCCGGTGCAAAATCTAGACATCACACTGTAACCGGAACGGCACTAAAGTGGGAAATCAAGATGGGTTCAGCCCTCCCCTAGGACTGTGACCAAGCCCCAAGTTGGAACATCAAATGTCACTCTTACAAGTCCCACCTTCCTCTAAGTATAATTATTCCTCATTTCTCAAACGTGCCATTTGAAAAACTCACTTCTCAATGTTGTCTATCACTTTCTTAAAATCTCCCCATGTTAGAAGTGAAAAAGTGAGCTGCCAGGGGCTTCGTGCACGTGTGTGTGTGAGTGTGTGTGTGTGTTTTCATTCTCCATGAGCTCAACACTAAAATGAAATTCAGAGTGGGAAGCAAGCCAGTTTTAAATGAGGCAGGCAAAAAGCTCAGATAATTGGCATGTTGTCAGCTGGGTGTGCCCGGTGGCACAAGACCTCCCGGGGGAAGCCGGACACTCAGGGTGTTTACCAGTCAGAGTAGAAGGTGGAAAGAGTAGAACACACAAGGCCCAGTGTCCCCGAGGCCTGGCACCCGGTGCCACCCAAAACACGACGACACCAGAGGCCGTTCTGTTCCACACTGAGTCCTTGCTCAGAGTGACAAACGCAGGCACAACACAGCCAAGGCTCACCTCACCGCTGAAAACAAGTCATGTGGAGCTAAGTATTGACAGAGAAAATATCTGTATTTTCTCCGGTTCCCTCGCCACCTTGTTTCCATACAAGGTCCCAGGCTCCTGGTCCACAGAGGAGCTGTCTCCCAAAGCTGCGAGCAGCCAGGCGCAGGCAGAAACCCTCCCGGTGCAGAACGTCCCAGAAGAGGAACGGCCTCTGGCCGGGAGCGGAGGACGGCACGCCTTCCCGCCCGCGGCTCCAAACGCGCTTCTCTTCATCCCCGCCCCGTCGGGGAAGCGCGCCAGGTGAGCGGCGCGTGCCGAGGACGCGCCCCCAGCCCCGAGAGCGGTCGGGGGACCCGAGCCGGCCCGAACCCCAGGACCCGGCCCTGACGCCGGGCGCAGCCGCCGGGGGGCGTCCACCCCGGACCCGCCAGGGCCCCGCGTTGGACGAGCCGACTTCTGCGGCGCCGAAGGTGGACGGCGCGCCGGGGGAGGCCCCGCGGGCTCACGGCTGACGTGAAGGGGCTGCAGTCTGGTCCTTCTCGGGCTTCCTCCCCGACCCCCCGTTCCCTCCAAATCTCAGACCCCTGCTTCCGCGTCGGCGCGGCGCTCCCTCACCGAGCCAGAAGTGCAGGCGGTAGGTGAAGCCCCGGCTCGCCTGGACGGTGCGCAGCACCAGGTAGGCATCTCCGACGTAGAAGTCCCCGTAGGCGCTCTCGGGCACCGGCACCAGCTCCAGCTGCTCGACCCTCCACACCTGCAGCCCCGCCTGCTTGCCGGCGCGCTCGAACTCGGCGTGGTACAGCTCCCGGGCCATGGCTCCCTCCTCGCGAGGCTTGCTGGCTGAGGCGCACGCGGGCAGCTGACTGACCCTGGCGTCGGACTGGACCCAGGCCTCGGGGAGAGACCCGGTTCGCGGCGGCTTTATAGGGTTCACCGTTCGGGGAGGCGGGGCCTCCAGGCCGGCTGCGTGCCCGGGCAGGAGTCGCTCCCTAGGAGGTGACAGCTGCTCCCACGCCCTTTCTTGGGCCAGGAGAGGACTCAGCCTCTCAGAAACCCCGAGATTCCAGGGGAATTGGTAGAAACTCTTGGAACTCTTCTCTCCCCCTCGCGCCGTCCCCTCCGCCAAGGGAAGACGCTTTCCCTGGTGATGTGCACCAGATGTAACAGCTAGGACGGCTCGAGACTCCTCCCTTTGCAACCTCCGCGCACTGTTCGGCAACTACTGCCCCCTTTCCCGCTGGGCTGGTTGTTTCTGGGTCTGGCTGCCAAGTGGAGAGGGGGGAGACGAGGCAAGGCAGGAACGGCTTCCCGGGAGTAAGACCTGTTCTTTGAGGTGTCGGAACAAGTCTTAGAACAAGTCTTCCTCTGCAACCGCCCTTAGAGAGCAGAGCCATGAATGGAAGGAAGAATTTTGGTGCATTAAAAAATAATAATCTTTCCAATCATCGAGTCCATCGCTTCACTGACCAGCGTCTTCATTCGTGATGGGCTTGAAAAATACCACATGCAACAGCGCATGCCGGGGGTCTCGGCTGCCTGGCCCCTAACGGGCCTGGCGCTCTTAAACCCCCGAGAGTTGGTGAGCTGTAGTTAAGCTCTCTTGCCATCTGCCTCCTTCAGCCAAGAAAATTACAGAAAACAAAAACAACCGCTGCTCTCCTGGGGCGTTCTCGGGCAGGCCTGTCTGTAGCCGTGATTTTCTGCTTGACTTCCCGAGTCACCTGTTACCTGACTTCAGAGTGATAATTTCTCATTGTGTGATGGACAGGTTTTGCTTTTTGCGGGGTGAGCATTGTAGATCACAGATGGAAAAGTACTCAAAGCAGCATTTGTGGCAAAGGGTCCGCATATTGTGGCGTGTTTTTTGATGTTTTTTTTTTCCTGCTTGTTTACCGTTTAATGGTGGCTGCCATCTCCGTTACTTGTTTCACGTCATCCTCTCTTGCTCCCGATGCCCTTGGCGTGCGTTTAACATTGTAGCAATGACCACTCTGATGTGTGTTTTTGCTCACAGGATCGAAGGCTCATTATTTTATTCTCTGGCTTTGTGCAGATACGTGCTGAACAGATGTGACTGAGTTGTTGGCTTGGAGAGAACGTGTATTTATTTTTCATGAATGCTCGGGTCCTCACACTCTCAAGAAGCAAGAGGTCTTTTGCAGGAGTCAGGAGAGCTGAGCTCTTGGGCCGTGGGTTGACTTCAGCGCCAGTGTCCTAGAGTGCGAATGCCCCAGGCGAAAGATTGCATGGTGTAACCCTTGGGAGAAATGAGCATCAAGTGATGTAATTGAGTCATTGTGCAAATCATCAGAGCATTTTGGTTTTAAGAAAAGGCTCATGAGTTATAGAGTCCCAGGGGTGAAAGGCAACTTAGCTTATTTCAAACACTGTGTGATAATAAGGCCACAGTATGGCCACAGAATTGGTGAAGTGAACTGTATGTACGGAAGATAGGAAATGCATTTTTATCCCTGGAGAGGGAGAAGTGCTCTAAATATGCTGTTTGCTTGCTTTAAGTGTATTCTAAATAATGGAAGTGTAATTTACGATGCACTTCTTTCTCGGTGGTTCTAAGCTATGATAATTAGTGTGTGATTCAGCCCATGGTTTGAGGGTCCAGCCGTGGAACCAGGAGTCAGTGCGTAGAGCACTGTCGTGATAAACGAGCCCTGAGTGCATCCCCAGTAGGCACACTTACCCATCAGCAAGGGCCCTCAGCTCCTGCGCCTCTCAATGTTTGGGGGTTGCTTGAGGTGAAGACAGATTGAAGGAAGTGCTTTCCAACCTTCCTAGCCATACGACATAAAATAGAATTTTAAAAGGAGGGAGGCCTAAGAACGAAAGGCATACTAGTAGAATTGCGTGACTGGAGTTCCTGGAAAGGAAAGCTGAGTCAAGCAGAGAACTAGGTGGAGAAGTGGTGTCTGGCCAGCAGGAAGGAAAGCCTCATCAGACAGCCTTCCTCTCAGCCTTAGCGAACGCGTCAGCTAGATTTCGTATTGAATTTTCCCTTGCAGGATCAGTTGATTCAAAAGTACTTTTGTTACTTCTCTAATGGGGTGGTGACAATAAAGACGCAATTCTGGACTGAGTGCCACGGTTGAGGTTTTTTAATGGTCTTGGATGTGCCCGTTGTGGCGATGTTTGTTTTCAAGATCTGTTTGCCACAGCAGACTATACCGGTTGATTGGGCGCTTTCTTCTTGATATTATAGAATTACTGTCATATAGGTCAGTGCTAACTCCTGAGTAATGAGAGAAAATGTCCTTATTACTTTCTGTTACTTTATTACTTTAGAAATGTACTTATGAGAGATTACTTATGACCAACAGAGAGACAGCGAAAGGCTCTTGGACATCCGTGATTTTAAATGACAATATTGCCTTTAAGCTTGTGTGTGTAAATAGAAACTGTATATATATTTTTTAAGGATTCATTTTATTTTTATTGCAAAGTCAGATATATAGGAAGGAGGAGAGAGAGGAAGATCCTCCGTCTGATGGTTCACTCCCCAAGTGGCTGCAAAGGCTGGTGCTGCGCTGATCTAAAACAAGGAAGCCAAGAGCTTCTCCATGTCTCTCACGCAGGTGCAGGATCCCAAGGCTTTGGGCTGTCCTTGACTGCTTTCCCAGGCCACAAAGCAGGGAGCTAGAAGGGAAGTGAGGTCTCTGGGACAAGACCCAGCGCCCATATGGGATCTTGGCGTGCAAGGCAAAGACTTTAGCCACTAGGCTATCTTGCCGGACCCCTGTAACTTTAGATTTTTGAGGAGTATGTCCCAACTGTTTGAATGTCACAGCTGGAAAAGATAATGGAAGGCAGAGGTGACCAGATGTTTAAAAGCTGACATGTTCGCTAAGGCTGAGAGGAAGGCTGTTTGATGAAGTTTTCCTTCACTTCCTCTTTCTAGTTCTCTTCTCACTCAGCATTCCTTTTAGGAGCTTCCGTTAAGTAATTCCACTAGTATTCCTTTCATTCTCAGGTTCCCCTTTTCGGCTTTTTGAGGTTTCCCTGAAACCATGGACATCTAGGGACTATCCAGATTGGAAGCAGCTTTGAAAATGCCTTCTGTTAATATTTCTGAAAATAATATTGTACTTTGAGGCCTGGCAAACAGAGCTCTGAGTCACCCCAGCTGCCCCCCTAAACTGACAAGGATCAGACGTAAGCCGTTCAGCCCCGGTCTGTGGATGCCAGGCCTGCTGAGAAGGGATGGAAGCCCTCCTGTTTCCCAGAGGCAATTTTGGACATGGGGATACTTGGGACAGTTTATAAAAGATGAGTTATCACTTATAATTTGCTATTTTTATTTGAATGCTTTTGTACATTTTTATGATTATGATAGTTACTTGTGTTTATGGAAGCTAGTTTTGAAAGCATCAGCTGCAATTTTGATTAAAATTATCCCTAATCACATATACTGGGGATATGCTTTGAAAACATTGAAACAACATTAAGGTCATGATAAGAGCACTTACAAGTTTTGATTGTAATTTTTCCCCTATAACTCTCAGATAATTTCTTTTGATAAGTAGGACATAAGACAATGTAGATTTTGAACCTAACAATCATTTTGGGAATTACGTTCATCCAAAGTCATCTGGCTTGCTGTCTTTCTTGATAAACACTGTATTCATTAAGAAGCTGATGGTTATCTTTGACTCATTAAACTTACTTAAAAAGTTCAGTGCTTATACTGTTCGAAGTTTTGAGTTAGTACTGATGCAGTCAGATTTTATCTTCTATTTGACTTGGTTCATCCCCTGTTCTCCTGTGTTGCTGGTCAAAAACTCCTCCTCTGCCAATTCCACCTGTGTGAAAGTTACGCTGCACCTCATTTTTCTCATCTCCAAAGTGGGGACACTCAGTGATGGGATTGCTATCAGGAATGAATGGACTTGGATACAATCTAGGAGATCAGAAGCAGGTAATTGAATAAGTAAAATGTGATAACAGATATGTCTGTATGACATACTGTGGTAGAAGCAGTTAAGAACATGAAAGGAATAGCATTATAGGGAAGTTCAAAACCAGGAAGTTGAATAGGATATGTAAGAATCATTTTGTGGTTACAAGCATACTTACATCCATAAAAGTTAATTTCATAGATGTACATAGTTGCACAAATCCTGAACCACGTGGAATGTAGCTTGGAAGTGTATATGTTGATTACATGTAAGCAGGTGTCTGGTAGAGATGGGAGGGATTGATGGTGGAGGTAAGAATAGGAACAGGTATGAAATAAAGTACAGAGCCCAGAGCAATAGTCTAATGGCTAAAGTCCTCACCTTTCATGTCCTGGCATCCCATGTGGGCACTTGTTCGTTTCCCAGTTGCTCCACTTCCCATCCAGCTCCCTACTTGTGCCATGGGAAAGCAGTACAGGATGGCCCAAAGTCTTGGGACCCTGCACCCATATGGGAGACCCAGTAGAAGCTCCTGATTTCAGATCAACTCAGCTGCTCTGGCAGTTGTGGCCACTTTGGAGAGTAAAGCTGCGGATGGCAGCTCTTTCTCTCTGTCTCTCCTCTCTGTAAATCTGCCTTTCCAATAAAAATAAATATATCTTTAAGACATTTTTTTAAAAAGCACACAAACAAAACAAGGCAGACAAGCTGGTAGTTAATAAAAGCCAGTCATGTGTTAGGGTCTATTATCAAGTCAGTTCTGTGAGATCCAGAATTCCAAAGTGAAACAAAATAAAGAATGTAAAAAAATTTAAGTAACTCTATATTTAAGTGATAAATTATATAAAATGTTAGTATTTGATATTTAATATTGATACATTATTAATTAAAATTGCTTAGGGATTAAAAGATAATGCTAGAGAGGAAATTATTAGAGATAAAATAATAATTCCAATAGTC